TTCAGAGGCATGTCACATTTCTGAGTGTGTATTAATAGTGTGATGTAGGACACAGTTAATTTCCTCTGCTGAATATATTCTGAGGGTCCTGTGAGAGCTGAAGTAGGACAGACGCTCGGCTCAGCTCGGCTCGGCCCGCAGGACTCACACTCATATCTCAGAGTTATTTCTGCTCCAGCTGGAGACTGAGCGCAGCACTAATGAACATCACATGCAGGTTAATTGAAGACTCCAGAGCCACAAATAGACTGTGTGTGTGTGTGTGTGTGTGTGTGTGTGTGTGTGTGTGTGTGTGTGTGTGTGTGTGTGTGTGTGTGTGTGTATGTTCATAATTTTTAATCGACCTTTAATCTAGCAATCCAAGTTTTAATTATAGTGGCGCTACAGTGGCGCAGTGGGTAGCACGATCACCTCACAGCAAGAAGGTCGCTGGCTCGCATCCCAGCTGGGTCAGTTGGTGTTTCTGTGTAGAGTTTGCATGTTCTCCCTGTGTTGAGCATGGGGAGAATGTGTCAACTCCGCACAGAAACGTTGGCTTGGTAAGGACTAGATCCAGTGACTTTCTTGCTGTGAGGCAACAGTGCTAACCACTGCGCCACCGTGCCGCCCATCTAGGAAAGGAGGAGGAGTAGGGGTGGAAGGGGGGATTCTTTAAAACCAAGATGGCTGTGATATGGAGCTGAGGGTATTCATAGTGGATTAGGAATCGTCTGATTGGTGAATCATGAGTTGAATAATGCGGGGCCGGCTGCAAGCAATCATAAGCATGAGATCATCATCCTCTCGACACATTTCGGCATTTACTGATCAACAGGAGAAATGACATTGTTCCTCTTCCCAACAGGGAAAACCAGCAGCAACACTCGAGAAAGCAGGATTATCTGCTGTCAGCGCCGTACAATCAATAAATGTGATTATAATGGAAGTCAATGAGGCAAAAATAGCCCCAACATCACCAAAGCGGAGTCAGTCTGAACAGTGTATTGTTCATTTTAAAAAATATTTTCAAAGCATTTTCCCAAAATATGAGTCAAAATCAGATTCAACAGCAAAACTCATCACATCTGCTGAAACACAGAGAGCTGAGGCCAAATCAATCAACCCAGAGCGGATGAAAACGACCCAACAGCACCCACGGGTTCAGTAGAAACTGTGTTTGTGAGTGTGTTTGAGTGGTCATGATGTGTGTGTGAATCCTCTGTTCTCAGATCAGCGCTGGACATGTTCACTCTGCCTCCAGAAGCTGCTGATTTCCAGGTTTTTCTATTTCTGTCCGCGGCTCCGGGTGAAGGTTCACATTGTTTCTGTACTCTGGAATTCCTCCATCACTTTTTCCATTACTCGAGCGGCGGTGGGCGGAGCTTAAGCCCTTGCTGACGGCTTGCAGCCAATGAGTGGCGGCCGCACTGACGCGGGCATGCGCATATGCTCCGCTACTCACTATCACACACACACACACACACACACACACACACACACACAGCCGCTGCGTGCTTAAATAAACTGTGTATCTGAGTGCGCCGCTTGCTTCTGTGTGTGTGTGTGTGTGTGAGAGAGAGAGAGAGAGGGATATCCTGCTTCTGACAGCAGTGTAGTATTTGCAGTGGCTACGACGCATTACCTGGGAATGTTATCAGTGTGAGCACACACACACACACACACACACACACACACACACACACACACACACACACACACACACACACACACACACTTATCACAAGCGCTGAGGATGTTAAGCATTGTGCGTCGATGTTAAAGTTACACGCAGATCCACAGATGACAATAATGTGTGTATTATAAAAACATGAAACCACCGTAACTCTTATTTATAGAAATGAGCTGTTAGAATATACTAGATCATATCAGAAATATATATATATATATATATAATCTACCTTTATTATATTTTTATAAGATTCTTTACAATATTGTCAGGAATAAGTCACAATAAATCAGAATTATTCACCCTCCTGATAAATTTCATTATTATTTTTTTAAAACAATTTCTGTTAAATGGAGAGAAAAAAATCAACATTTATAAATATTCATTCATTTTCCTTTGGCTTAGTCCCTTTATTAATCAGGCATCAATACAGCGGAATGAACCTCCAACTATTCCAGCATATGTTTTACACAGCGGATGCCCTTCCAGCTGCAACCCAGTACTGGGAAACACCCACACAGACACATACACTTTGGCCAGTTTAGTTGATCAATTCCCCTATAGCGCATTACACACCCTCACACACACTCACATGCTCTGTCTGACACACACATACTCTTGCACACACACTCTTATGCACACACTCCCTCTTTCCTGCAAACACACACACACACACTCTCAGACACTCTCAGGCACGCACCCACACTCAGTCATCTGCACGCGCAAACACACACTCTCTCTCTCTCTCTCTCTCTCTTGTGCACATTCTCACACACACACATGCGCGCACACACTCTCTTGCACATACACTTGCACACCCATACATACTCTCTC